ATATACTTAAAGTTCATAATTTAGTAGGTCAACTTTGTGCTAAACATACTGGCTCCTTTTACATTGTTATCAAATTTCTATTCCCACCTCACATGGCAATCACAGACTACTGCTATCACATTAAACAACTGAAACTGTTTAAAGCACAGGAGCCTTCACCTTGTGATTCAGTCCCCACAGGTACCAACACAAATGATTCATCACAACCCATGGTGTCTATGGTGATGCCTTCTGTGCCTAATGATGATCTCCCTCTTCCCATCCCGTGCAGTGACTTCTTCTTGGATGACTTAGCCTTTCCTCCCCAACCCTCCCACACACAAAGCCAATCTTCCCTTTCCATTTTAGCTCAACCGTCAAGGTGGGAGACTAGCAGGCAACATCAACCCAGCCAGCTGTCTATTCCACAACAGCAGCCAACAACCCCATAAAGAACCTCAACACGGACATTAGTAACATGTTCAGTATGGGTGGGGGTGGTGCAGCGCGAGAATTGGGACGATCACAGTAACCAAATGTTAAAAAGAAGAAACATAACTGAACGGGTGATAGCAGTTAAGTGAAAGATTGGGAAACAAAACAGGACATGAATGAGGATGTGGTTCACTGGAGAAGATTAGGGTGGTTAATATAGCTGTAGCATTTGAGATTGCAGGAAATGTTGGTAAAGGCGTCTTGTATAATCCAGCCAGCTATGTTAAAAGATTCTGAAGAAGACGGGAAAATGATAGCTTTAGCCACAATGTGTAATGCTTATGGAGCATAACTTTATATAAACTTTGTAAAGAACACAAGAAGATACTCAGTTGGGAAGAGTGCCGAATTTAGTAAGTGATCAAGATTTAAAAACATAGAATGTGAGAATATACCAAAACATTCGACCATTTATAATTTGGGATATGTTACCTTACACCTAGGATTGCTTAAGTGTAGCGATAAAATGGCTAATAGTTCATGTAAATATTCTGATTTGTTTTATATTACTTTTACAATATAATTACCGGTAGTTAATAAAAGTGAAGTGTATGTTACAGGATTCAAAGTGGTGTGAAAAGACATCCTCTGGGTTTGAGAATGGTGACCGAACAGATGCAAACTGCTGAAGAAAGAAAATTCATCGTCAGTAAACTGATGGTTTAATGGACATTTGCACTTTGATAAGTATGTGTGGCAAATGGTTAATACTAAAAACACAGAATAAGGTTCACCAACAGATGTATGACAGTCCCTGTAATGTGTAAGGGTTAATTTAAATTTGTGACCCTGCAGTGAAGTAAGAACTGAAACAAATGCTGTACAAAAATATAGATGTTTATTAATTCAGATTAGTAATAGTTATAAGTAATTAAAAGAATACATCACAATAATGCTTACGTATCGATGTACAGTTCACAACGATATAAGTTGTCCTAACCAAAAGCTGCAGAAGAGATAAAGTAGCAACGTCCAATTTAATGTCCATTTTAATGTGTCCTTTTCAATCCAAATATATGTGTCCATCAAAAGGTATCCAAGTATGGTTGTACGTTTCAGATCAATCACCCAAAAGTATCCAGGTATTATTGTATGTTCAATTTGATCACCTGAAGTATCCAGGTATTATGGCACGTCCAATTCTATAACGGCTCGTCCAATTCAATCCCTCTCCTTCTCCAATTACTTTTTCTGATTCTCTTCCAAATCGATCTCCATTTATACTGTTGAGTAGGTGACCTTTCACCTATTGTCTTTTGCAAGGTAGTTCCTTTGTGAAAAAATGCAACATAGCTCTTTCCAGCTGAGACCATTTTTCCATGAGAAAATGACTGATAAGGACTGAAAAGAGTTTGTTGTTTATAAACAGTCTGCGAATCTAGTCACAACCAGCTCCCATCATATGAGATTGATCATATGTCTCAAATATATAAACATCGCTAATATAATTTGAGATATTATTTAACACATTAATTACAGAATCTTACAAATGGCTTTGAGGAAGATACATTAATGACATACGTCAATGTTTTAAAGTTCATCCAATTGTTCTGAGGATTATCGTTTCGTAGATCCTGTAGGCAATGGTACATCAGCCAAACAGCAGCTAAGGGAGGACTGTAAGCTGATGAAAGAGTGCGGCTGAGACACCCCCTCTTCTCATCTCGGGTTGGCTGGTTTCTGTGTAACAAGAGATTTTGTTGCAAAGAAACCTGAACTGGACTAGTGCCACCTGGTGAGGGGATGACACAGATGCAGTAGCAGAATCAACACAGCCACATGGCAGGGTGTGTGGTGTGAAGGAGAAAGATGAGGCCATTTTATCCTGGGATGGAGATAGAAAACCTCCTCCTAGTAAGAGACTCAGAGAGACCAAGGCAAAGGGGAAGGAGGGCAGATCAACAACGTACACAAAGTGGTCGTCATTTTCTCTCGGAGGAAGGATTGGAGCGCCTATAATCCGAAGGGTCCCTAGTTGTATGTATTGACTTTTGTTCTTAAAACATTAACTCTTGTATTACATTGTGATGAACCCATAAACTTACAGCAATTGGGTGTTGCGTTTCTCCCACAAAATACAGTCAATCCACTTAACAGAATATTCTATGAAGCACTTTGAGATGTCTCGACGACGACATAGTTCTCTTGCGATGCAGGCACGCTGACTCTGCGACTGTGCCTGAGTCATCCCCTCACCAGGTGGCACTTGTCCAATTCATGCTGNTTTTTTTGTTCAAAGTCTCTACATCAAATGCAAGGATTATTATATTAACTTCCGACCATCCATCAATCCCCAAATTTCTAATGCCCTCCTTACCTCCACAAATAACATACCTCCCTCCTCCCAGTGGCATTTTGTGTATTATGGAGCACTTGTTGATTTCAGCCTGCATCCATTTATTATCATCCATTTATTTTTTTTGAAGGAATTATTCCCCCCGTAAAAGCGATCAGCCAATCGACTGACAACCGGGTTCTTACTTACTGCTAGGTAAACAGACTTGTGGAGTAAAGAAGCTAGCCCAACATTTCGCTCTGCCACAAATTGAACCCAGATCGCTTGCTTGCGAGGCGAGTACTCTTAACCACTCCATTACTTGTTATTCTAGACAGCAATTACCTGTGGTACTTTGATATATAGGCACTATATACTGTATGTCAAAATGCAAGGATTATTTATTAAGACATGACCAAATGAAATAAGTATTAGTTAGATTGACAATGACAAATAAAAAATACAAATACAACAAGTCTTTCATCTTCCTAAAAAAATTAACATGAGGCAACTTTTTTAGTCAACCTGGTGTCTGACACATTCAGAAACCCATTCTCAGACGAAAGAATATCCAAATCAGACAGAGTTAGATCTATATATGCCATCTATCCATTGGAAATATGTTGGGTCTGGAATGGATTGCACAATCTCTTCCTCGAGGGATGTATCCTGATTACCTAATTTCAGAGAGTACAAGATGCAGATTGGTGAGAGCTCAGGCTTGGCGACTCCAGAGTCTGCGATGTACTAAGAATCATGGTCCTTCAGTTACTCGTCTGCCTCTCCACATCCTGCCGATGAGCTAGGCTGTCTGTACTGTCATCAGCAGTGCCATGGAGTACTGTGGACTCACCCACCATAGGACTGGTCTACCGAGACCACCAGAGAGTGTTGGTTTGATACTAATATTCTGTTGCCAAGCATGTCACTTTGGAGCCAGCTCAGCTCTAAAGAAATCCTGCTTACCTACCCCCCCACCCAGGATAATGACCAGTTGCTCACAGTCACGAGTTGTTGAGGTCCTGAGGTCTGGATCATCTGCCTCACTTTTAAAGCTTTTCATGGACTTGTCCTACCCAACCTCTGTGAGCTCCTAAAGCCCTAATACTCTGCCCGCTCCCTCCGCTCGGCAGACACTGGTTCTGGCTCACTTCACATCCCCCGCCCTGTCCGCCCCACCACCAGCCTTCAACCTTTGCATCCTGGAGTCTTTTCACTCGCCTCACCCCCTCCCTCGCCCTCTCCCTCGTCTCACCCCCTCCCTCGCCCTCTCCCTCGTCTCACCCCCTCCCTCGCCCTCTTCCTCGCCTCAACCCCTCCCTCTCCCTCGCCTCACCCCCTCCCCCTCCCCCTCCCTCGCCTCACCCCCTCCCTCGCCTCATCCCCTCCCTCGCCTCACCCCCTCCCTCGCCCTCTCCCCCGCCTCACTCCCTCCCTCGCCCTCTCCCTCGCCTCACCCCCTCCCTCGCCCTCTCCCCGCCTCACCCCCTCCCTTCCCCCTCCCCCGCTCCCCCCCTCCCCCCCTCCCTCCCCCCTCCCTCTCCCCCTCCCTCGCCTCACCCCCTCCCCTGCCTCACCCCCTCCCCGCTCCCCCTCCCCTCACCCCCTCCCTCGCCCTCTCCCTCGCCTCACCCCCTCCCTCGCCTCCTCCCTCGCCTCACCCCCTCCCTCGCCTCTCCCCCTCCCTCGCCCTCCCCCCCTCGCCCCTCTCCCTCGCCTCTCCCTCTCCCTCGCCCTCTCCCTCGCCCTCGCCCTCTCCCTCGCCTCACCCCCTCCCCCGCCTCACCCCCTCCCTCGCCTCACCCCCTCCCTCCGCCTCACCCCCTCCCTCGCCTCACCCCTCCCTCGCCCCTCCCTCGCCTCACCCCCTCCCTCGCCCTCTCCCTCGCCTCACCCCCTCCCCCGCCTCACCCTCCTCGCCCCCCCTCCCTCGCCTCACCCCCTCCCTCGCCCCTCCCTCGCCCTCTCCCTCGCCTCACCCCCTCCCTCGCCTCACCCCCTCCCTCCCCTCACCCCCTCCCTCCCCTCCTTCAAGGTCTGCCTCAAGACCTTCCTCTTTAACTGTGTCTGATCTTCATGTTCGCAGCTGCAGCCCTCACAATCCAACACTGGACCAGACAGCACTCGGTGGTGTTGTCGACATGAGAGGTATTCCCTGAATGCCACCTGTTGTTGTTGTTGTTGTTGTTTGTTGACCACGCCAGCCGTCCCGGGACCTAGTGCGCACGCGCGCTCCTCGCGCCCTGAGCCGGAAGTGGATCTTGTACCGGAAGTGATGGTGTGAGGCTGTCATGGCGGACGCGGCGGCTGAGCTGCTCTTTTTAGACACTTTCAAACACCCCAACTCCGAGGTATGACCCGCCTCGGCCTCCCCGCCCTCCCGCGCACACCCCCGGCTCCTGGCCCCGCTCGCTGACCCCTGTCCGAGCAGAGCCGGGGCCTCCCGCGCGGGTAGTCCTCAGCTGCGCAGCGCGAACCCGCGGCCCGTCAGCCTCCCCGAGCAGCGCCGCCGCCTCTTTGTGTGGGTGTCTCCCTGTCTCCCTGCCCCGGGGCCGGGCCTCGGCCTCTCCGCTGGGGGCGGCAGCGCCCGGCCCGGCCCTGCCCGGCCCTGTCGGGGTTTGTCAGGGTGTCGGTGGCGGCCGCCGCCTCACCCACTTGATTTTCTCGGTGACATTTGATCGTCAAACTGCAAATCGTTCATGTGCAGAACTGTCAGTGTCAGGTCAGCCTCCACACCAGTGAGCAGCCACGGAGGCCGGTTTGCAAAGCTGCGCGGTTTGTTTTCGTTTTAAGCCGTGACATTAATGCAGGTCACATACCGAATGACTGAATGACAGGTTTTTGATGTGCTGAACGCTACAGTCTTGGCAGCAAGAATAATAGGAGGAGCTGCTAACCTTTTTCTCCTCGAAGATCAGCTGTACGGCTAGATATATTATGACCGTTCACAGTAGGTTTGATGAATACGTACCACGCCTTACATGTTAGTGAGGTGTTTATGTTCATGGATGTTTATGTCAGATTTAGAATTTAAGTAGAATTTGAAAAGTACTTACGAGATAGCATTTCAATAGGTTATGATGACTTTACAAATGGCAGAAGGAAAGCTTGAATGGCTTATCAACAAGACCTCTCTGAATTGCGTTGCAACCTTTAAATGCCCTTTAGGTGCAGAACACATTTTATGTTGTACAACATGGAATGAATGGTTTATGCATTTTTTTAATGGAAAGCAGGTATATCACACAACGTCATACGATTCCTATATCAAAACCTCATCATGTGGACTGAAGTGTCATTGTGCATGTGATTTGAACAGTGATATTGAGTTTATTGCATGATGCAGCGGAATTGAATATGCTGTATAAAGGATAATTACAACAGCAACAAAATTACATTTGTATAGCGCCTTTTCATGTTGGAAGGACGTTCCAAGGCACTGGACAGTCAGGACCTGAGCTGGAGGTCGAGATCGGGAAGGGTAGAGGGCAGGGAGAAGGCTTGGTCGAAGAGGAAGGTTTTGAGACACTCCTTGAAGGAGGCAATGGGAGGGAGCGAGGCGAATGGAATGTGGGATGGAGTTCCATAGGGTGGGAGCAGAAAGTCTGAAGGCCCGACCGCTGATTGTAGGATGGGCTGGGTGGGGGACATGGAGCAGGCCAAACAACAACAACATTACATTTATAGATCCTTTTACGTCGGGAGGACGTCCCAAAGCGCTGAACAGTCAGGTGTTGGGGTCCGAGCATGGGGGAGGGGTGAGGGAAGGCAGAGAGGTGGGAGGGAGACCAAAGGCGCGTTCGAAGAGAAGGGTCTCGAGACCGGCCTTGAAGGAGGCCAGGGAGATAGCGAGGCGAAGGGACCGTGGGATGGAGTTCCAGAGTGTGGGGGCAGAAAGGCTGAAAGCCCGGCCACCGATGGTAGGGCGGGTCGGGGAGAGACATGGAGCAGGCCGGAGCCCAATGAATGGAGGGAGTGGGCAGGTTGGTAGGGAGTTAGCAGGTCAGAGAGGTAGGAGGGGATGGCCATGGATGGCCTTAAAGGTGAGGACGAAGATCTTGAACTGTGGTCGCAGAGGTAGGGGGGGACAAGACCGTGGAGGGACTTGAAGGTGAGGACAAGGATAATGATTGCTGCAGAGAGAATTGTAAAGTGTGGAATCTAATTGAGTTTCGGCTTTTATCCACAGTGTCTATTTTTTTCCCTCTTTGCTCTTCTCTCCTAAAGATGCCAACTTTGCTGGCAACCCTTCTGTACCTAACTCAATTGGACATTTTCATTTATGACTTTAGATAATTGTTGGTAAAATCTATGGCAGCGAAAGACATTGTAGCCAATGTCAATATGTAAACATTTCAACAGGAGCACTGGAGAGTGAACAGGAATAGGGAATCCTGGTTAATTGCAGGCCAGTAAGTTTATTTCTAGTGCACCAATTTTTATCCTGACTCAGATTAATTATATAGCACCGATTGTTTTTCAGAAATGCAACTTTCAGAATTGTATAGCTAGATGAACTCACTGGCATCTCTCTGGGACCTCACCAAGTGCCAATTCTTCTTGCTTAGCTGTACATTAATTAATTTGAACTAGATCAGATCATGTCCTTATGCTTTTGTTGTCTCATACATGAACATTTCCAGCAGATGTCAGCAGGATATTTGACGTGGGGTGGGTGGGGAGAGAGGTGCATCCTCACTTTTTTTGTAATCAAAAGGCATGACGTTATCTCTTACTTTCACTCATTCTTTGTCAGAGCTTTAAGACTGCAGAATTCTCTACAATTCCGCTTACAGTTGACAAGCTATTAAAAAAACATACTTAGGACGTTTGACTTAATGACAACATGTTTTCTTTTCTCTTTAACCTTGGTGGAGTCTTGCATTTTGGTCATGATTCTTCATGTAGCCTTTGAATAATAAATAAAAATACTGAGGCTGTATAGGATGGTTTGAATGGAAAAGTCTAAAAGGCACATAACTGCAGGAACTCTCCAAGGGAAGGTTGCTATTGTGAGGTTGATATTTTTATAACAATTATGGGTAGCCATTGGGTATTCAGTTACTGTAATAGTTTTTACAATTTAATAACAATTATGCCCTCCTGACATGAAAGGCTATATACAAATGTAATTTGTTGTTGTTGACTTAAACATTTTGCCCACAAAATACAGTCAATCCACTTTACAAGATACCTTGTGAAGCGCTTTGAGATGTCTCGATGATGTGATAAGGCGCAATACCAAATGAAAGTATTATTATTAGAATATGTGTATGCACAATTTAAGCGAGGAATAAAAGGTTAAATTCTTCGTTATTTGACTTTCATATGCTTTGGGCAAATTTAGGTTTCTATTTAAATATTATAGTCCATGTTCTGCCGTAGATACTGTAGTTGATTTTTTGCAATGTTCTGACTTGCTCTTAAGTTTATAGTTTATGCTTAAAGCTTATATTTACATTATCCTTATTGGGAGTAAGTAGGTGGGGTCTCTTTGGAGTTGAACTCGCTCCAGGGTGACATGTTTGGGAACAGATTCTCAGAGTCTAGTCAATTGCCTGCATCAGTTTGGTAGTTCAGTTCCTGAGTCAGGCAGCGTGGCCCTAGCTGGACAATACTCCTAGGCACTGGTGATGGCAGTCTTGCTTATCAGCAGGACTTGGGGCATTCTAGTCACTGGAGGCAGGGATTCTTTCTACTCAGTTCTTAACTCTGAAAGCCAAAGCCCTAATGGGAGTAGGATAGCCCAAGCTGAACAAGCAATGGTAGGCTTGCCAGACAGCCTTCTCAATGGCAAGCTATGGGATATTAGCTGCTTATACTCCAGCAGTACCCTAACACACACTCTGGGTGCCCAGGGTCTTATTTCATGCCAACCTGCGCCTAATACTCACTGGAATTAGGTAAGCTAGATGCGTCCCTCCAGGGAGAGAGTGCGCATTTCATTCCAACGATCTATCTCTGGAATTTCCATGCATAGGTGGGATGCATGGAATTCTCAGCTTGGTTTGGATACTTTTAAGCATGGTGGTGGGTTTCCGCATGTCAGACACCCGGCTGACCCCCCAGAAATAGTAATGAGCAGTGAGAACACGCACAGAATTGTTGCAGCAAGTGTTGCTAAAACATTTGAATAAAAATATATCCAACTTTGATTTCACTGTTCCAGAGGATACTGTACAATCAATGTAGCCAAAGGTGAAGTAAGGTTTCCTTAGCAATTAGCAATAGCAAATTGTTTGAAAACAACAGAATGTGGCCATTGTGTGATTGTATAAACATTAAACTTCAAATATGAAACTTTGAAAATGTGAGCACTTGACTGGAATTATGCAGTTGATTCATAAATCACACCTAACTATTTTATTTCTGTGTTTCTTTTGCAGCAAAACACACATGTGGACGTGGTTCGTTTTCCCTACCAGGTTTACATAAATGAAGTTCGTGTAATTCCTCCAGGAGTGAAAGCTCACAATAGTCTTCCTGACAACAGGGCTTATGGGTACGTGAGGGGAGAAAGGCATATTTTCCAGTTTCTTTTTAATGTAGTCTGAGCCTCTTAATGTAATTTATATCTAAAACAACAATGTAGGCTTATATTGTGCCTGTTTTATGGGGAAACATCTATTTCAAACTGCTTTACCTAGATTTAGTTGAAGCTTGAGCTGGGAGAGAGCTAGGAAGGATTAGGGGAAAATGTGGTTGGAAGCTTAGTCAGAAAGGTAGATATTTAAGCCAAATTTGAAATTAGAGAAGCGGGGAGGGGGAAGGGGGTGGAATGTAGGGATTTGGGGAAAGAGTTTCAGAGGTTTGGAGCGAAGTACTTGAATGCTTGTTCACTGATTGTGGAGCAGAGCAGGTGGGGACATGAAGCATGAAGTTGGAAGGAGTGACTGGGGTGTAGGATCGCAGGAGTTGCTGAGATAGTGTTACAAGACTGTGGAGGCATTTGTAAGTGAAGATGAGGACCTTAAAGATGATCCACTGGGCAACGGGGAGCCAGTGGAGCTGGGTGAGTGTGGAGGTGATGGGCTCATGTGACAAACTGGTAATTGGCAACCATCTTTGACATCTTTTACATCTTTGGGTAATATAAAGTTTGCATCCAGATAATGTAATGGTACAAGCCTGTGTACAAACTGACTCATTTTATTGTTTGACTTTCTGTCGACAGGGAGACTTCACCACATGCATTTCAGTTAGACCTGTTTTTTAACAATGTCAGCAAACCAAGTGCACCAGTCTTTGACAGACTAGGAAGGTAAGACCCAGTCAAACTCCTGCCATGATGGCAGATACTGAAAGGGACATTTCCATTATCTATCTTGCAAACTCAGACTGAATGTATAAACTTCAAATTCTTGTCCTACTGGAATTCTGAGAGCAGAATCTTATGGATTGAGAAAGTTAATGAAATCATATGCTGTACCATGGGCCTGCTGACAACTATACATTTAAATGTTTTTGGCTCAATTGTGCTTGTCTGCCTATTCAGATGAACATTAAAAATCCAATGAGACAATTTGAAAAAAGAAGGGAGTTTCTCCCAATTTACTGACCCACATTCACTTAGATTTTGAAAAAAAAGGTTACTCACTTTATGTTTTTTTGTGGGACATTGCTGTGTACATTGGCTGTCAGGTTTGCTTATCTACAAATACTTTTTTGTCCTTCAGACAAAATTGGCCATGACTGTTTGTGGCCCTTCAAAATACACATTTACCATACTTGTAGTAAATCTGAAGTGTTTTGAGCTAGCCGCCTGATGTGAAATGTGCTATATAAAATGCAAAGATTATTATTATTCAGACATTATGGGAACATCATTCTCTAACCATGCCTCATTTACAAAATCAAATAACAAGCTGGATAAAGAATATGAAGCTTTTAACTGAATGCAAACAATATCTGTCAAGTTTCGAAAGAATACTCTGACCCATGGTCCAGGCTGAACATTTTCAGAATAAGAGTAAATACATGAAAGAAAGGAACTAATTGGATGGTATGGTAATACACTAGGTGAAAATTATTGACATTGTGTAAAACTAGTATCGTGATTTTTTTAAACAAAATTGACAATTTTCCTTTAAATGTTTTCTTTTCCTCCCCTCAGCCTCGATTATGATGAAAATGCATCTATTATTTTTAGACCAAACAGTAAGGTAAGTTTTTATTTGAGGGTTCAGCTGTGTTTCGCATTGAACATGCTCTATATTTTTGTAGCCTGAAAGTTTTGTGCAGTTTTGTCTTCCATCCTTCCTTTCTTTTAAAGAAAAATCTGTTTTCTTTCTGCTTTAAGTTCCCTGCACCATTACCCAGCTGAGGGGGCAGGTAACTGATCTGCCTTTGCTGGTGATGCTGTTGAATTAACTGCTACATCTGTTGGTAATTTGTCCTCCCATTGCCTTTTTCTTAAAAAGTCTTTGCCTCTGGGAATGCCATTTTCAATGTTCAGTGCATCCTCAATGGTGAAACTGAGGTTGGAAATTCCCCATGAGAGTGAAACCAATGTCCATCCACTTTGCAGCAGATCAATGCATTTCTTATAAAACAGAATTGGATTGAATCTTGTGTGTTTGTGGCTTTTTATTTCTTTGCTTTTTTCCTCTTGATGTGTATATTGTCTCGTACTTAGTTTTAATAAGTTCATGTTATGGTATTTGCATAACCATTCAAGATCATGTTCCTTATTGGATGCTTATAAATGAAATAGACAAACATTGTAGCTTTTTGATAAATATAATATTGTTAAATCTCTATCACCCAATGTCATCTTAATCTGTTTATTTGGGGAATTTATTTTCTAATCTTATCTCTTGTCTTCCCATTCATTCTATGTGCTACCATCTTCCCATTTAGTATGAGCCTTATGTTGCGGTCTGTTTTTTTAAAACTGAGATATTGTAAAGGATGCTTCAGTTTAACCTTGATGCCTTGGGTTACAAGAGGTTGGCTTGCTGGCTTGCTGTACAGTTGAGTGGTATCACAGGTTTTATCATCTGACTTTCCCACAGGGTGTCTTTCTGATCTCAGCAGGCTATAATAATCCTTTAATCCTTGCATTTAACATAGAGCCTTTCACATTGTTGTGACGTCTCAAAGCGCTTCACAGAATGTACTGTAAAGTGTATTGACTGTGTACTTTACTTTAAAAAAAAATATTTTGAAGGAATTAGTATCCCCAGCAAAGCTGTCTGCCAATCGACTAACAACTGGATTCCTACTTACTGTTCGTGAAGTGTGTGGAGTAAGGAAACTTGCCCAACGGTTCGCCCTGCCCGGGAATCGAACCTAGGTCCTCTTGCTTGCGATGCGAGTGCTAGAATCACTAAGCTATAGGACTCCACTAGCAGGAGGCTAGGGAGGGAAATGCCAGAACAGGTGAAGTTGAGTGGCTTTTCGCATCTCTTGTCATTTAATTACTGAGTGGCTTTAGTAAGAGGCAATTTGTTGCTGAGGGATGGTAAATGGAAATTGTAATTTGTGATGAAATACCTGTATGAAAGTTTGGTTTGGATTCTCTGAAGCATAGTGATGGGTTTCTGCGCGAATGACAAAATATAAAGAGCTCCCTTACTAGTAATAGCACTATACACTTTCTGAAAAGCTAATGTGAAGCCGGGATAAAAATAATTACAAACTTATTTACATAAACTGGATTCCTGAAAACTTGATGAAGTTGCAAAAGTTCTTAAAACTGAACAACAACAAATTACACTTGTATAGCGCCCTTCACATCAGAAAGACATCACAGGATGCCGGACAGTCGGGTTTTCAGAACCAAGCTGGCAGTTGGGGTCAGGAGGGGTGGAGGGCAGGGTGGGTGGGGGTGTGGCTGAAGGGACGGTCGAAGAGGAAGGTCTTCATACGGGACTTGAAAGAGGCAAGAGAGGTGGAGGGATTGCGGGATCAAGTTCCAAGGGGTGGGGGCAGAGATGCTGAATGTCCGACCGCCAATGGTGGGGCGGGCAGTGCGGGGACCTGAAGCAGGCTGATGTCCGCCTAGCAAAGAGAGCAGACTGGTTGATATGGGGTTATGAAGTCGAAGAGGTAGAGGGAAGCAAGACCATGGAGGACCGTGAACTGAGAATTGGTTAATGTCTACTGTTTCATTGAGTCCTTTTTATTGTATAGACATTAATGGGTGACAAAATGTTTTTCGCAAATTATTATGGTGACTCAACAGTTTAACAAAGAAGACAACATGGGATGTCAGTATTGGAATCACAGCTTGTTTTGCAGCTGGTGTCCTATAATGGATTTTGTGGCATGAAATACTCTCCCTACCTTTGCTTTAAAGTACTGCTCTTGGGCAATGCTAAGGTCAAGGTGATCATCACAATTTGGCTTTCATTTTTCTCCTGTTGATTATCTCCAGGTTAATACAGATGGAATTGTCCTGAGGGGTTGGTACAACTGTCTGACTCTGGCAGTTTATGGAACTGTAGACCGAGTAATAAGTCATGACCGTGATTCTCCTCCTCCACCTCCTCCCCCTCCTCCTCCACCGCAACAGCAACAACAAACGACTCTTAAACGAAACTCCAAACATGGTAAGAAGTGATTTGCATGGCATTGTCCAGTAAACAATGGTGCCAATATTGCTGCTTTAAAACTATGGTAAATACACAAATTGTGTTGCATTGACCAGAGAAGTTTCAGATTTCACCCATGAGTTGGTGTAGAGGTTAGAAAGTTGGCCTTAGAATTTACAGATTAGAAAAGTAGAAAATAAGTTATTCTGGATCTCTATCCAAAGATTCCTGCATGATTTCTGCTGGGAAAAGAATTGGACTTAGTTGGGATTGCCCCGTTGATTGAATAACCCACTGTGACATTCTCCCCAACCTTACATGTGAAGAATACCACTTGGCCAAATTATTAGAAACTGTATCATGGCATAAACCAGCACTTTCAGGAGAGTATCGGAGGAAAATAACGATTTTTGGATGGCAGATATAAATATAAATTACAGTGTGATTTTTACTTATCCTCTCTTGCTCCCACTCCAAAGGGGATGTTGGTGTTTATTCTGAAGTCCCTGCTGATCTCTTAAATCATCATCAACGACTTGCAGGGATATAGTGTCCTTCACACAGTATTGCGTCTCAGAACATTGATTCAAATGAGTTTGACTTGCTTTGGCTGAAATACATCTCCCTCATCTCACTAAATTCATCTGCTTATGCCTGTTGCTTCTGCAGCCTGGATAAGTCTTAATAACTTTTCAACTTTCTATCAAACTAAATGGAATGTTTCGACTCTTGACTTTTCCTTTTTTGAAGCCATCATTTTTGGTTTGAATTATCAGGCTGGTGCTCGTGCCTCAACCTTTGCTATGACCAAGCATAACTTGCTGATTCATCTCTCACATCCCAAATATAGTCAACCTAAACAATCCAAAGGGTGTTGGAAAAAAAAGGACAAACAGGAGATGGCAAATGTTTATGTGCTTCCTACATGTAGTTTTTTTTGACCAGTAAAGACACAAATAACTTGCCATTCACCATAGCTTGTGAGCTGAGATTGTTTTGACATTAGAGAGGCAGATGGTTTTGATCGAGGTAAGAGTCTGGAAACAAAGGAAATCGCATTGAACAAGTTAGGCTTATCCCAGGGTACAAGAGGGAACTAGATAGAAATCTAAAATAAACTACAAGGGTATAGGGAAAAGGCAGACAAATGGGACTTAAAACGTTGTTCTTTAAACTTTTTCTATGCTGTATATTTCTATGGTTCTATGCTTCTATATTACCTATACTATGGTGCAAACTTTGACACCAAAATAGAGACCATGACAGTTCGGCAGTGCATTTCAAAATCCTATTCTTGTCTGTATTGAGCCACTTTTTAACTCTTCCATCTTTGTAGAATCTGAATGCAGAAGGGCTTCTGTTCTGTATAAGAAGGCGTGAGAGCACTATTATGGTAACTGGATCCATCCACACCTTCAAGAGTGAGGTTGATACATTTTTGGCAGGTCAGGGCATTAAGGGATATGGGGAGAAAGTGGCAAATTGGAATTAAAGGATTAGTTGATGTACAGCTCAGCCATGATCTAATTAAATGCCGGAACAGGATGGAAGAGCTGAATGGCCTACTCCTGTTCCTATGTAATGCAGGTGACTGTACTTTGTTCTGAAAGAGTTTAGCCTACGAAGGGAAATTCTATCTGGTAATTATTGCGTTGAAATAGGCATAGTATGTGGAATGTAGTTTGGCTCAAAGAAAGATGCCTAGGGTGAGTATTATCCTTTTTAATTGTCTCTTTTCAAATGATGATTGTCTGAGGTTCAAATTATTGCCCAGTCATAATACTTCTACTGTTATATTTACAAAGGTTTTGTAGCTAGTCTGTTAAATAGCTCATCGATTAATTTGATGTCTTTGAAAATCTGTCATTATTCTTCATATGCGATTGCAAGAATTTATAGTTTATTTGTTTTAAAAAAATGTGTGTACTACTAGATTGGGATAAAGAGGATCAATACAATGGAAGCCCACCAAGACCACAGCCAAGAGGGCCTCGAACTCCCCCAGGTCCCCCTCCACCTGATGACGATGAAGAGGAAACACTAACTGAGATTGGTAAATTAGTAGATTACTATGCACCATTCCATAACATTTAATGTTCTACTGTCCTTTTCATTAAATAGGATTGGGCTCTTTGGCAACTAATTTAGAATATTTTTATATGTTTAATGCAATTCCACTCTATAGTCTTAATTTATTCTGCAGTTGTGGAGGAGATTTAAATTACCATAATTACTTGATTATAAAAGTTATCTCCAAAATCAGGGTACATCTTACAATCAATGGATTGCAGACCTCTATATACGCGTGAGAAAAGCCGATATAAAGTAAACTTGAGCTGCAGTGTTTGGGAGAAAAAAGAGTTGTGTTTAGGTTTGTATACGATTTTAGCACGACAGAACCAACAGCGAGATGAATATTTATATGCTTAAAAGTTAAGTATAGTGTTAGAAACTGAGATAGAAAAACAAAGGGCAAGAGGGTGACCGAGACAGACATTTGGAATTGAACGTTAGTTGATGCTGACACTCCAGTACAGTACTGGGGGGGTGGACATAGATAGAGAGATTTGAAATAAATGAAAAAATCGATGAATAATTCCAATATTTTGTTATTTCAGTGAGTGCCAATAAAGTGGATGAAAGTGAACATAGAGAAGATTATTTTGAACCCATTTCTCCAGATCGTTCCTCCAATCATCAAGACGAGCCATTCTCTGATGGGGATGGAGAGGAAGAACAGCCAGTGGAGGAGGAAGAGGAGGGGGAGGAGGAAGATGAGGATTCAGAGATAGAAGAGGAAGATGAAGATGGAAACACAGTGGGAAGCATTGATGAGGAGGAAGATGATGCAGAGGAGGACGCTGGGGAAGAAGTTGACGGTATGTAGAGTCATGTTTGTAACACTTACAGAACTAGATTTTTAAAGAAAAGTCCTTCCAATGAAAGATTCAAGTTTGAAAATACTCCTTTTGGAGAACATGAAACCGGTCACTTTCGTGGTAAATTAAGGAGTAAAAACCATGTATCACAATTATGCCAAATTTGGAAGTGACAGATGGATACAAAATTTGGACCTGAATCATAGATAATCAACAACAACAACAACTTGGATTTATATAGCGCCCTCCACGTCAGACGGCGTCTCGGAGCACTTAAATCTTTCACGTCAGATCGGGGGAGGAGAACGTAGTTTAGAACAATATAATGCTGATTCAGATATCCTATTTGGGGTAAAACACTTGCATTTAGATACGTTTGAGTAGAATTCAGCCTATTTTGTATCCTTAATAATGATGATTGGCTTAAATGCAAACTCAATAGCTTACTACCAAACTCATTATGTTAAGGAAATACACCAGAGTTTGTCTGGGAAAAAAAAGCTGCAGAACATTGAGATCCTAAATAAATCCAAGTGAGTATATGTTTTTATTTTGTAGATGATGGATATGAACAGATATCCAGTGATGAAGATGGAATTGTAGATATGGGGCGTGAAAACTACAAATTGAGCTTTGACATTGAATATACTGCTGAAGATCTAGCATCGGTCCCTACCATGGCATATGACCCGTTTGATAGAGACCTAGGACCTCTTTTGTACTTTAATCCCCCCTATAGGACTAAATATGAGAATGAAGCAGCTAGACTGAAGGATACAGACACAGAAAAGGCAGGTGTAGGAAATACAGATGCAGCAGTAAAGTTAAAGGAATTGCTTGACCTGCACAAAGATGACAAAGGAGCCAAGTGGGTAATGGCTTTGGAAGAGGTGCCAGGCTTGCTAGTAAAAGGTTTAAGTTACCTTCAACTAACTGAGAGGGACCAGGATCATCTAAAACCACTTGTAGATTGGAGCATGGATGCATTAAGCCTTCAGACAGCTGTAATGCAGCCAATAGCACTGAATGTCAGGCAGCTAAAAGCTGGGACGAAACTGGTTTCCTCTTTGGCTGAATGTGGGTCTGAAGGAGTTTCAGCGCTTTTAGAGGCAGGCATTTTCGATAGACTGTTTGTTCTGATGTTTGCGGAACATATGTCCTCTTCATTAAAATTAAATACCCTCAAAGCTTTGGACAGTATAATTAGTGTAACAGAGGGAATGGCAACATTTCTGAAAGCAAAGACAGTGGGAGAAGAAAAAAGCGGGTATCAGAGACTGGTAGAGTTTATATTGACTGACCAAACTGTGAGAGTAATGACTGCTGGTAGTGCCATAGTACAGAAGTGTCATTTCTATGAGATCTTATCAGATTTGCAAAGGCTGGCCACCCACATAGCAGAGAGTACTCCTGCTTCTTTAAATGCAAATGAATCAGAGCATGCAGTAACCACTGGGCGGGAGAAAGCAAGTAAGGATCATGAAGAAGGAGATCTGGAGACTCCGATGGATCTTGACCATCTGTTAGAAGCTTCTAACATAAGTGAAGGTGATGTGGAAAAACTTATGAGTATACTCGATGAACTCCTGCACTTGCTGGAGACTGCACCTTACACAATGATTCAGCCTCCTGTAAAGTCATTTCCAACAGCAGCTCGTATCACAGGGCCTCCAGAAAGGGATGATCCTTTGCCTGTCCTTTTCAGGTAATTTTCTTTCAAAAAAAGTCTTTGCATGTAAATGACTCTGAGCGTTGTGTTGTATCTGCAGTCTTGTGTTTTTTTGTGGGTCAAATATTTCGCAATGTTATCAGAATTTAGCATCTTGTAATTCGTCAACTGTTAATCGAAGCAAGCCCATCAGCTGCATACTTGTGCTGAGTGTACCAACTCAACCCTCTATTGCTGTACCAACCATTTTAAATTGTCCTATTCTTGATTTGTACAGTGTGTTTGAAAGCTCCTCCTGAAATGTAATCTTTACTTTATTGTAGAATAAGTAATATGTGTGTGCATTTGAAATCCCTAAAAAAATTAATAATAATTTACTTAATCCATGACTGTTTGTGGGACACTGCTGTGCGCAATTGGCTGCTGCGTTTTGCCCACAAAATATGCAGTCAATTCACTTTACAGTATATTCTGTGAAACACTGAGATGTCTCGAAGATGTGATAATAATAATAATAATCCTTGCATTTGATATAGCGCTTTTCACGTCTTCTAGACGTCCCAAAGCACTTCACGGAATATACTGTAACGTGAATTGACTGTATATTTGTGGGCGAAATGATAGCGCCTTACACCCGGGGTAGTGTCCCAGAGCACTTGATACAGTGCAAAGTAAAATATTAGATCACGCCATGTGAGTTATGAAGTTCTTTTTAAATTGAAAACTGTTGGTAAACACCCTTCATAGTGCTATAATGAATTTATTCTGTATTCATATTATAAGAAAATCTAAATGTGTCTAGCATGGTATTGACTATTGCTTTATGCAGTGATTATTCATGGCCCATGAAGAGTGAACTTGATGTTTTTATTGAGGTAGCATGCAAAATATTGTATTTAACTTAAGAAAAAGGTAGTATAGGTTAACTGTAATAAGCGGGTTAAATTGTTATGATTATTGTTAGTAAACTAAAACAGAAGTTATTCAACTGCTGTGTTAAAAACAGTATTTTAATTTAATGAAGAATGTTGAATGAAACTTGGCAATGCAGCCTAATGTTTAATATATTTTCAAATAAATAGAAATAGAAAATGTGATTGAATTATAATTTCTATTAATGACTGCAAAACTGAAATGAAAATAATGGCCTACTAAAAGTATTTGTGACACAGTGACATAATGAATAGACTAATATGAGCTAGGAAAATCCTAAAATCATCGTACCACAAAGGGTGGAAAAAATACTTAAAAATTCATGTGAACTTTGCAATTTATATCTTTAATTTTGTTTCCACAGGTACCTTAACAGTTGCCATTTTCTGGAATCACTTAGCTTGCTACTGTCCATTCCAGCAACCAGTGCTCATCCTGGGCTGTCACAAGCCATCAAAGACTTAATTAAGTTCCTAATCCAGATACAAAATGGTCTTTTATTCCTCAGTGCGGAGCACGAAGCTTCCAACCTTCTGATTAGAGCCTTGTCTCAGACTTGCGACCAAGACCAAGAGGAGGGTGTCCAAGCTGACTGTGTCAGTGATGATACATTGTCTGTATGGCTGTTATATTCATTACAAGCGTTGCAGTATGTTTCTGAACTCTTTGAGTACTTAAATCGAGGCTTAACAATTGAAGAAACGGACCATGCGGATGTGCTCAGTACGCTTCATAGCCTTTACCTAATTACTTTCAACCCAATAGGAAGAGGTGCTGTTGCCCATGTGCTCCATCTAGACAAGAACCTTTCTAGTCTCATTACTCTCATTGAGTGGTATTCTAAAGAGCTCTTGGGGTAATGTATATTTTTGTAAATTAAATTACCATACCAATCAGTGTGCTATAGTTATGGTGGTTAGAGTGTTTTACATATTTCCAAAGCTTTCCTTTGTTGACTTAATTGTGATGTTCCTTTTTTTTCAATTGTACACAGGACAGTATAGAAGAGTAACTATTTTTCCATTTAAAATTTGAGAGTCAATGTTCTGTTATCTCTAAATTCCAGATATAACTTAGTTTATATATCTAATTGCACAGAATGTTGACAGGGTTGGGATCGTACAAACTGGTAGTGTTTGATTACCATACAGAGAGAGAAAACAACAGTGTAGTTCCCTTTTAAATGTCTTGTGTCAGATATATGAAACTCAGAATAATGGTGACATTTATTTGAATGTTTTACTGCAAACCTCAGTATAAATCAGTGAGGCCAACCTTTGGCCAACAGAATATTTTTTTTTAACTTGATTGAAAATGTCTTGATATATGCCATAAATTGAGAAATATTGAATCAAGATAAAACTGGAAATTGTATGATGGGCCACATTTAACCTGATTCACACTTAGGTTTAAGTAAACATTGTTGGTAGTAAATGAGCATTCGAATTATGCATATTTCATTTCTTACATAGTAAATTATTCTTTTTTTATATTCTAGGGACACAAAATCCAGGAAATCTGTTGCATGCAATTATGCTTGTATGCTTATTTTGTTAACAGTGCAGTCTACTAATGACGGGCAAATGCTGGAGCAGCATTCTGCTGGCTTACTGAAACTCTGCAAGGCTGATGACACCAATCCTAAACTGCAAGGTAAAGATGTTTGAAGTTTCAATCCTTTTGCTCCATATTTAAAAAAAATCTGAATGTCCTCTGTTACCCTACACACAATAGGATACTGAACTAGGCCATGCCATCAGCTGTGCTGAAAATATTTCTTCAAATAGTTTTCAACAGACTAAAGCTATTGAAGAATTGCTGGACCAATTTTTATTTCACATTTGTATTTTTCAACATGATGTAAGGCTTCTTCTCCAAGATACGACCCTGCATGAATGGCGCTATATAAAAGCATGTTGTTTTTCTGTCCATTAATTCTATTTTCTTGTTTTTAGAACTGAGCAAATGGGTTGAACCTTTAAAGACTTTGAAATTTGAAATAAATTGTATTCCAAGCCTACTTGAATATATTAAACAGGTAAGCAAAGCTCTATTATATTTTGTAGCTTAAAAGAGCAAAACTTTCAAATGTTTTTTCATGGTTTGAGACTTAATAATAATCTTTGCATTTGATATAGTGCCTTATCATGTCTTTGAGCCGTCTCAAAGCTTTTCACAGAATATACTGTAACGTGAATTCACTGTATATTATGTGGGCAGAACGCGCAAATCATAGAATCGTACAGCGCAAAAAGAGGCCATTCGGGCCATCAAGTTTGTGCCGGCTCTTTTAATAGAGCAATTAATGTCAGTCCCACTCCCCAGCCCTTTCCCCATAACCCTGCTAACCCTTCCAACTCAAATACCCGTCCACCGCGTTTTTAAAAGTAGTTATCGAATCGGCCTCCACCACCCTTTCAGGCAATGTGTTTCAGATTTGAACAACTCGCTGCGTGAAGAAAATTCTTCTCACCTCCCCTCTGCTTCTTTTAGAGACTATTTTGAATCTGTGACCTCGAGTCACCGACACACCCACCAGTGGAGACAGTTTTTCCCTTTCTAACCTATCAAATCCCCTCATGATTTTGAAGACCTCTATTAGGTCTCCTCGTAACCTTTTGCTTTATTTCCAATTTGTTCATTTTGCATCATAAATCATTTACACTTGATGATAATTTATTAGGTGTCACTGTTCTCTGGGAATAGATTTGATTCTACCCAATGCATATTGGGTTTGTAGTCTCATTGGCTTCAAGACTTCGTTTTAAATCTGCAAATATTCCTTTGGATGAAACATTAAACCCGAATTCCGTCTGCCTGCTCAGGTGGATGTTAAAGACCCAATGGCACCATTCGAAAAGAGAAGGGAGCTTCTCCAAGTGTCCTGGCCAACAATCCCCCAAATAAAATTGGTCATTCAATTCATGGCTGTTTGTAGGAAATTGCTGTCTACAAATTGACTACTGCGATCCCCCTACAAAATAAACACTCGCTTTGGTGTAAATTATGTGAAGCACTTTAAGATGTGCTTGTGAAGTGAAGGGCACTATACCAAATGCAAGAATTATAATTATTATTGTTAGTAATACAGCAATTTGATATTTTGATAACAGTGTTTGTGAAAGAGTGCTTTAATAACCTGTCATTTTAGCTTAGTGGCCAATCTTTTTGGTCAGCTAACAAAATAAATTTTCTTGATTGATTTATTCCATAAATCAAGAAAAAATCGAAACAAAGCATTGATTTAAAAGAAAGTCACCTAGACTAGGCCGAATGTTCGATTGACCACCACTGGCCTAATGAAATTTAGATTCCTTATGAAAGAAGACACTAAATTATTTTAATTTGTTTCATTGAGCAGTTGATGACAATGTTACACTTCTGTGTTTTCAGAACCTTGATAATCTGAATATTCAGATGTCACAGGAAGGAGCTGGTCTTACCACTGCTTTACGTGTCCTTTGCCACATCGCATGTCCACCTCACCCGATTGAAGGTATGTATAGGATGGGTAAACATTTACAAGAATTAGAAATGATAATGATGGCTCATTTGTGTCAGGGACTTTTGATGTTGGTTTGTCTGCGCTATCATTATTTAAAATGTGCTTTTTTTAAAAATATATTTTATTAGTGTACCTAAGGAATGGTTATGAATTGTTGATACTAAGTATCCTATTTTTGACTAGGGCAATTCATCAATCTTCAAGATAATAAAAATGTAATCCTTTAATGCCTGAAAGTGTGGTGGAAGCTGATTCGATAACAGATTATAAGAGAGAAGTAGATAATTATTTGAGGAGGTCAAGTTTGCAAGCTATGAGGAGAGTGCGGGGAGTGGGATTGATTTAGGTAGCTCTTTTAAAGGAGCCGGCATGGACATGATGGGTCGAATGGCCTCCTCCTGTGCTGTATAATTCTATGGTTCTGTAATTCTGATTTACAAACATCAACATAAATGCAAGTGATGTACACACCTATCTTGCTGAAGCAGAAATTTTAGAAGAGTGACCTATCTGACCTCATTTTCAACAATTGCTGAATTGCAAAACTAGAAGTATATTTTGTGCTGCATGCTTGTCTACTCTAGAAAATAAAGTGTAATTTACTAATCTTTGTGCGACGGCATTAAAAAAAATTCTATGACTTAGAAATATTTCCACAGAATAATAGAATAATTGGTATTTTATTTTCCAGGCCAACAAAAGGATCTCAAATGGAACCTTGCAGTTATACAGCTATTTTCAGCAGAAGGAATGGACATATTTATTCGAATTCTGCAAAAAATGAACACTGTCTTAGTCCAGCCATGGCGATTGCATGCCAACATGGGAACTACATTGCAGAGAATTATGATCCTCTCTGTGGCAAGATGCACCCTTACCCTTCTAAAGGCTATGCTGACAGAACTTCTGAGGGGAGGGTCCTTTGAATTTAAGGATATCCGAATCCCTACAGCACTGGTTACCCTACACATGGTCCTTTGTTCCATACCGCTCTCTGGACGATTGGACTGTGAAGAGCAGAAGATTCAAAATGATATAATTGATATACTGCTTACTTTCACGCAAGGAGTTAATGAACAGGTCACTTATTCTGAGGAGACTTTGGCCAACAATACGTGGTCTTTAATGTTGAAGGAAGTCCTTTCCTTTATACTGAAGGCCCCAGAAGGATTTTTCTCTGGAATGTTGTTACTCTCAGAACTCTTGCCTCTTCCGCTGCCCATGCAAACCACACAGGTAAGAATCATTCAGCTTAGTACATACCTAATCTACTTTCTCCACTTTAGACCAATGATACACAGTTCATTCAATCTCTATATTGGCTTCAATGGTAAATGCAGAATCTCTTGATTAAAACATGTCATAAAGATGCCTCCCCAACTCACAAATGGGAAAATAAAAGTTCTATTGTATCAGAAATAGGTAGTTAAGGTCAAAATATTGAATTAAGTTAGAAAGAGGGTCTTCACAAATTGCAAATAAGAACTAGGAATCTCCATTGTTTGAGTACTGGCTTGAAATGTGTTATACGAATGTAATTTTTGTTTTCCAATGATCCTGAGTTTGAATTTCAGTATTGAGCGTATGACTTTGATTTTCTTTGGAGGGGAAGGGGATGTTGATCGACCTGCAAATGGCTTGTGTCAGATAGGGAGATTAAGCTAATTCGTTGAAGTGCAGTTCCTGTTTGCAAGTCAAATAGCAGCATTGGTGGTGGGCATGCAGGAGTTAGACTGACTTGAATATCCCAACTTGTCTATTGCTTGCTCCCCAATCGTTTTGCTCCACCATTGGCTCTGCTATGCTTCTGTTTGAAAGTTTTCTGAAACCAATTTGCTTTTCTAATTTGTCTTCTACCTATTTAAAAAACCTCCTTAAAATATGTTTGTGATTCTGCCTTGGTCAACATCTTCAATTCTCTTATTTGCCCCATGGGACCTATAGTACGTTGAGATGTCTTTGATGAAAAAAATATTAAAATGGAACTCCATTAAATCTCAGTGTTTCGGATCCATGTGCAGCAAAACAATAAATAAATAAATTTACATTGACTGTGAAGTAGACCCGGAAGTTGGGCATTTTAGCACAAAAAGCCAGCTTACTTACATGTCGGAAGCGAGTGGATTGACTGTGACCATATGCAGTGAATGGTATCCACAGTGCAAGTGCATTTATAGTCAAGCACATTCTAATGGGCTGGGATGTTAATTGGTTACAGTTGCACATCAAATTGAGAATTAGGCACCTTTGACTGTAAAGTATTTTATTCTCCTTAGATGATAATTTAAGTTATCATTAATTGGCTGTGTGGCAGAACCTACATTTTGAACTGGTGACTCTGAAAAATGGTGTACTAATTTTTCTACAGTGGCTACAGATTTCAGATGATAAGTTTTTTTTGCTTCTTTAGTGATTTTAATGTCTGAAACCATTGTAGCTAATGACTTAATCTTGTTAACATTTTTAGCCTTTGGGTTGATAATTTTGCCTGCAAATTATATAGCCATTCACTTCACAGTATACTCTATGAAGTGCTTTGAGACTTCTTGAAGATGTAATAAGGCGCTATATCAAATGCAAGGATTAGTTTTATTAGTAGTATGTTTTGCTAGCATAGCCTTAAACATGTTTATTAATATGTATTATGACCAGTAAAATATTGCTTTGACAGGCAATCTCTACAAAGGATATAGCCGTGGCACTAAACACACGAAAACTGTGGAGCATCCACCTTCAGATGCAAACAAAATTTCTCCAAGAAATAGTGCGATCACTTTTTGGATCTACCTGCCAGCCTCTGCAACAGATTCTCAGACGTGTGTGCATACAGTTGTGTGACCTGGCGTCTCCCACAACTCTTCTCATCATGAGGACAGTGCTGGAGCTCATTCTAGAAGAACTGAGCAGGTACCTTTGTTTTTCTTTCGTTGTTTAGCTAGTTATATCTAGTAAACCTTCCGGGGTATTGTTCAGTAGATTTGTTGTTGCAGTGGAACCTCTAATTATAAATGAGCCTTCTCAAAGATATTAATCAAGCTCCCAGAGAGGGCTTTGTCACCACTAACATGAGCGCCTTCATCTTTTCCCATATTTTATTGATGCTAGCCTGGCTCAATTGGTAGTACTCTCACCTCAGAGTCAGAAGTTGTGGGTTCAAGCTCCACATTGGGTCTTGGGACCCACACCATACCCACACACAAATTTTTCAGTAATAAATGCAGTTCCGGTTATGTTTTGTATTTAAGTGAACTTGTAAGACAGCTTAATTTATGAACCATTGTTGTCAAATTGTGTTTTATCCTCATTGTTCAATTAGTTGGATGTTTTATTTAATTACATTTCTGTTTCTCTCTTGCTAACTTAGTAAAGGATTGGGGATAAATTCCACCATATCTAGATTTACTTTTTAATGTAGCATTTGGCAAATTGTTGAATTCATTCTTAACTTTAAAGTCAGTTTACTGTAGTTCTTAAAAGGCTTCAAATTTGTAACCTGGGAATTGTTTAAAAACAAATTGCTGGTGAAAAAGTTTGTAAACCACTATGAACTTAACTAAAAAAAACTTAAGAATTTTGTCTTGTTTTGTAACGGCCGGTATAATTTAATATCATTGATAAAATATTATGGGTACAACTAACAAAATTGTATCTTCTGAATTACTGTAAGAATATTTTATGTGTTTTAGTCCTCCAGAAGGGAAAGAGAAACCCTTATCTGGCCAAACTGCACGTCTGTTTGCACTACTGGATTCTTTAGCTTCACATGGAGCTTGCAAAGCTGCCCTTCTGCACCTTTTAAGTGGAACCAGCAAAGGCGATGAGAGATTTGCAGAGGTATTTCAGGGCATGCTGGGGTTTCTACGGGCAGTGGTTGACAATGTACATCACCAGCATTGTGCTGAATACGTTGCTTCCATTGTGCAATCCCTCTGTGACCAGGTAATTTAAAATAAAAACTTGTCTTAACACTTTCCCTTTCACATTACTCTTTCGTTTACAAAAGCAAAGTGACTCTCTTGAAATGTTCATAAGAAAAACTTGTGCCATGAAAGTAACATGGCCCTTTAACTAATTGTCTGTAGTGCTGAGATGGCAGTATTCACAACTGCTGACAGAACCAAATACCATACACATATCCTTGGTAAATAGCCTTTTGTATTCTGCATTTCTTGGCGAATCCCTAGTACAGTATTGTAGTATGAAGGAGAGCTTAGAAAAAAGGGACTTTGTGAATAGTGAACCNTTTTTTATCTTTTAAAGGTGACCTGAACTGTGCACTTATTTAAAATGAACAGGTGTATTATTTTTTGAACAATTCACAGTGGATGTGGTAATTCACTAAAAGAGTCTCCTCATACCAGGGGCAATCACAAATCAAGTCAGGCAGGTACAAATGTTTCTGTTCTGGCAATTTGTGAGACAAATATTCCCAAAAGTAAAATCCAAACTATCTTCTTTGACAGAGACCATCATATTGGTTTTAAATTATTTAACTACAGAGAAACTTTAATTTCTGTAACCAAGCAACAACAACAACAACAAGATTCCATTTATAAAGCGCCTTTCACGTCAGGAGGACGTCCCAAGCACACCTGTTGTGGAAAAATACAACAACAACAAGATTACATTTGTATAGCACCTTTCACATCGGGAGGACGTCCCAAATACTTGGACCATTGAGGGGATTTTAAACTTAACATGAAGACAGGAATATAATTTATTATGTGATGATCTTGATTCATCGTTTTGCGTACCAATAGCCTATTCTAATATAGGGAAAGTTCAGTAGAATGCCTGATGCACAACCTATTAGGGGGTGGTCACTTTTTGTGCTAAAATGTAATTATCAGGTTATCTCCTAATCGTGATTAATGTCACGTGAAAGATACAAGGGTCAAATTTGGCATACCATGATGAAATAAAATGGCTAAGTTGCGTGAGGGGCACTACATAGATGCTTGCTTGTTGTTGCTGAAATACAAGAAGCTGGGTAAATAGTACTGGACATCTGACTCAACTCTTGGCTACCAAGATGCCAATTTATTGACAAACAAAAACACTTCAAAAGCTGGCATCACATTATCCGGCAGTTGAAGGCCAGAATCCATGAGGTGGAAGTTCATAGCTGAAGATTCAGCATCTCATAGAGTTCACCATTGACAAGATTTAGATGCTTGTCTGCTTTCAGCTCATTCAACAACAACTTGCATTTATATAGCACCCTTCACACTGGTAGAATCTCGTAGCGCTTAACAGTAATGATAACTTAACAACCTGATAAATTACACTTGGATTGTAAATTGAGCCCCACGGTGAACAAAATGGTACTGGCATTTTGTTACTGGGGTTGCAAAAGAGTTTACGTGATGTCCAATTATCTGCAAGTTCATAATTAGTCTGTAAACATAATTTGAGTTGGTAAGATTGGTAAAAAAATCAAAATAAATGTAACTTACACGTTTTTGTATCTGAAATAATGGCCAAAGATGAGCCATTGCAAAAATTAATGAGAACAATTCTCAAAATTTCCACACTTTGCCCTGTATTCACTTTGGCACATTATTTCAGATCCAAAAATGTGTAAGTTACATTTATTTTTATTTTTTTACCAATCTTACCACTAGTCAATGCAAATTATGTTCACAGACTAATTGTGAAGGTGCAGATAATTGGACATCATGGAAACTACAAATTTGCAACAGTGCTAACTTTTTAAAAAAACGTTTAATCTCATACTGTGATAAAATAACCGCTCTTCACTGTCTCTGCCATTCTTTTTTCTTTGTCTCTCTATCCTATTGTTTTGTCTCCAGTACATGCTCTACTTATACTTCCAATTGACGTTTCCCTACTTTTCTTAATCACTGGTTGCATCACTTCTGGGAATGCATGTTGTGGATGAATGTTGTGTAATGTGTTAGTACACAGATATTGAGTGTCTGCATTGAGTTCAATAAGACCATAATACAAATCTCCTGTCAGCATATTGTGAAATCAGCAGAGTATCTCATAGCCAAGGAAGGTTTAATAACTTGAGTGCTCCAGGGAAGGGCACTAATCTCACTTACTGAAAGGTATATTTTTGTTAACAAAATCCAGTATCCACATTTAACTAGTTGCCATGGTACAAAATTAGTGCTTGATTTCAGATGAGAAAATTGTGACTAGAAGATGTATAAATATCTCAGCGAGTTGAAATTCAATTATATTACATTTGTTAGCAATTTACTTATAGGTTGGTGTAATCTTAATGAGTGAAAACTAAATGATTATAGAAACAACATGTTTACTCTATCTCTATCCTCCTCTGGAGGAAGGAAAGGAGGGTTTATTTAGTACTGAGCTGGTCCAAGGCTTCGTAACTTTCAATGGAATATAGGAATCAATTATATGTGGCAATCTCAATAGTCCAATTGTTCAGCCATAGTACTTTAAGGTACTCTTGATAACTCACCAGCCAGCCTAATTTGTAAGCAGCCCTTGAAGGAGCAAACTAGTCACTTGGAGCTTCCTATTTGGTTCCTGTTAGTCTTGGAATCCAAAGCCCTTGTGGGTAGGGTGATCCTAGCTGGACAAACTGCTAGAAGCTTACTGGACAGAATTTGCAATGGTTTTAGCTGCATAAACTCAATCAGTATCCCAATGCACATTCTAGGGTTTCCAAGAAACCATTCATATGTAGAACTGTCAATAGTTTGACGCATGCTCAAACCCATTATTATAATTGAGAGGATTCAAACCAGACACCAACAATTTTTTTCACAAATATCTCATTAGTTTAGTTTTCGCTGTTTACTTTTGCTGGAAATATATATAGCTCACATGACTCTGAAGCAGATATACATGAGATTGCCTCTGATGTGATTGTATCTTAAGTATTCTTTGTGGTCATTATATCTGGAAACTGTCAGAGGATTTAAATTGGACTGATGACACAAGCATGATTTCTGTTTGAAAAGACAAGGGAGTTACTCCTGGTGTCCTGGACAATACCTTAGATTAGAAATTAGTAATTCACTTCATACTTGTTTATGGAACATTGCTGTACCTAAATTAGCTGCTACATTTGCCCGCAAACTAAGGCAAGCTGATATCTTTAGTATAGTTAAAAAGAGGTAAAGGAGCTGTTGTCGGTTTTGGTTTTCAGAACAGTTTATATGGAGTTTTGGTATGAAGCCAGACTGAGCTACAGGAGAATGCTTGATAACAGCACAAATGAAAATCACCCCTTTGTGGTTGTGAAAACTGCAGTAACCAGGTTGCCAGTCAAAAACATTGAATTAAAATGAGAAGTTACCAAAACTTTGTGCAATTTACCTTCACTTTGATGATTTATGTGTCACCCAAACTCCTTGTAACTTTTTTTCTTTGGTACAATGTTTCTGATTAGCAGTTGTCAAAAAGTAAAATCCAATAATCACAATTTTCATAACTGCAAAGTGGCCAGTTGCCAATAGTCCGGATATGAAAGTTTGTAAAATCAGACCTTTTACAAAGGCGTCCTTTTTTTATTTTAACCAACTGTCATTGATTCACACTGCTATGTGGGGAACAGTAGATGTCCTTCATGATATTCTAAAATACGATGTACACTACAGGTTGGAACAAAGAGCAGTCTGTGTTTTTCTGATATTGGTGTTTTTTTTTCCTTTTATAGGACATTTCACTGATCTTGAATAACTCAGCAGAGGGATCCAGTTCTGACCTAGAGCAACTCTCTAATTCCCTACCAAACAGAGAAGTGTTATCACCAGTTTGTGACTGTTTGTTGGAGGCGGTATCTAACAGTGAGACCAGTTACACTACAGTCCTCACCTGTCTCAGGACCATGATGTTTTTAACAGAACACGAATATGGGCTTTTTCATTTGAAGAGGTAAACGTATTTCAAACTTATGCTTTAAAGTTTTCTTCCAGACGACTGAACCAAGGAACAGTTCTGGTTAGTTTGTATCAATTTGTTCAGAATGAACAAATCACGTGGTGGTGGTTGGGAGGGGGTAAGGGGACGATGAGGAAGGCATGGGTGCAACCCTTCAGTACTACAATAAGTAGTGAGTTCTGATCATATGTATCTCAACAGGGAGCATGCTTCCTATCTTATAATGACACTGGACCAGGTTGTACAATACAATACAAAATTACATTTGTAAAGCACTTTTCACGTCTTGAGGATGTCCGAAAGTGCTGAACAGTCAGTGATTAGTATCCGAGTGGGGGCAGGGGGTTGGGATCAGGGAGGGTGGAGGGCAGAGAGGGAAGGAGGTTGGCCGAAGGCACGTCGAAGAGGAGGGTCTTGAGGTGTGCCTTGAAAGAGGCAAGGGAGGGCGGGAGGTGAAGGAAATGTGGATGGAGTTCCAGAGGGTGGGGGCAGAGAGGCTGAAGGCTCGACCGCCGATGGTGGGATGGGCTGGGCGGGGAACATGGAGCAGGCCGGAGCAGATGGAGCGGACAGGTTGATAAGGGGTTAACAGGTTGGAGAGGTAGGTGGGGGCAGACCACTGAGGGCCTTGAAGATGAGAAGGATTTTGAACTCGATTCACTGAGGGATTGGGAGCCAGTGAAGCCGGGCGAGGATGGGTTTGATGGGATCACAGAGTCTGGTGTGGGAGAGGACACGAGCTGCAGAGTTCTGGATGATGTCCAACTTGTGGGGGGAAGATTTGGGAAAGTCGACAAGTAGGGCATTGGCATAGTTGAACCTGGATGTAATGAAGGCATGTAAGAGGGTTTCGGCGGCTTGATGGGTGAGGCAGTGGCGGTGTTGAGCATTGTTGTGGAGGTCGGGGAAAGTAGAGCGAGTCATGGCATGGACGTGGGGAAAAAAGGACAGTTGAGGGTCGAACAATACGCTCAGGTTCCTGACTGGCTTGGTGAGGTGGAGTGTCCATGGATGCTGGTCCTGCCAGTGCCTGAGGTGTGAAGGCGTTGGCACGAGCCAATCAGAAGAGCTTCCTGTACTAACAAATGGCTACTTAAAACAGTCAATCTTGTACCCAGAATGAGCTTCTATTTTCAAGAAGAAAAGTCATGTCGGAAGGAAAAACACAAGCAAACAAGTTTATAGATTATCATTGAAATCCTAATAATTTACTATTTAGCTTTGGGGCAGTTTCTCAGGCAAGAAAAAACCCACAATATCTGTCAGGAGGCTGGAAAACAAAGTACCGCCTTTTGCCAACTCTAGGGATTCAAAAATAAGCATTTTTTTTAAAAGCTCAAAATTGCAAAGCAGAATTAATGCAACAGATCTGGTTTGCCAATATTGTGTTTCACACCCAGTGCAGAGTGCATGGAGGGTTGAGAAAAAATGTCTTTACAACAACAACAACAAGATTACATTTGTATAGCGCCTTTCACGTCGGGAGGACGTCACAAGGACCTGGACAGTGTACAGCATTTCAGACCCAAGCTGGGGTCAGGGGGGGAGAGGGGAGGAGACGGGGGGTGACCAATGGCATGGTTGAAGAGGAGGGTTTTGAGGCGGGACTTGAAGGAGGCTAAGGAGGGGGCGAGGCGGAGTGACTGGGGGATAGAGTTCCAGAGGTTGGGGGCAGAGTGGCTGAAGGCTCTCCCGCCAGTTTAATTAGAGATCTCAAGGTATTTCAAGAATGAAAGATACCAAACTAAGCAATTTTAACAAGTGTTTTATTGGTTCATTATCAAAATCATTTTAAAAATAAATTTTGGAAAATAATTTCTGCACTGCTTTAGATTTATATTGTCTGAAAATCCAAACCTTATAGCAAATCATTTCTGGGAATTTTTTTGAGTGTGGCTTGTATGCAAAGCAAATCTTTTATGAGTTTTACTACAGATAAAAATTAACTTGTCAACAACAATAATAAATTACATTGATATAGCGATTTCACATCAGGAGAACGTCCCAAATTGTCGGTATATTTAGTGCAGTTAAAATGAGCCCAGGACATCTGGCCTTTCCCAATGCTTGGCTCTCTTTTTCTGCTGTAGGATGTAAAAACAGAGGATTCATGTTGGAATGTTTGTGTCAGATTCAGTGAAGGTATGGAAATGTTAAGGTATTTCTTAATCTATGAAAACACAATTGAAGCTTTATATCATGGATACATTGATTTATTACATTTTTTATAAGAAAGTATTCATTTTTCACTCTGAAGTGTTGAACTAAAATTGTTATTTTATACTAGAGAGTTATTTTGTGGAAATCAACAGCTGCAGATTAAATTCCAGTCATCGAGGTGTGGTTAGTCAGATTTAATCTTTTGTTGAGAAAATCATCACCAAAATCAACACGAATGGAGCATCTTAGCTTTTGATGCCAATTGTGACACCTGCTGGGAAAAGGCAAAACTTAATAAAATCTGCTCCTACTCAGCTCAAAGAATATAACTTGTGATTTATGATATTATCTAAACTCCTTGATCAGATATCGTTGTGATAATTTTTCACTCTGTGCTTGAGTTTTAACCAACTGTAAAACAGTGTTTTATTTCTCAGTTTAAAATGAGTGCACACTATTCTTGTGAACTGGGTGCAGAGTGCAGAGTGCCAGATTCAGAAAATTAATCCTTTTCCTGTCAACACAGTTGGATAGCAAATTGGGGTAATAACAGATCCTACCCAAGGGGAAAGCTCAGAGATAAATTGGAACGTTTATTTGCTCTATACTGAGGTCTACAATTTCTGGAAATAGATCTTAATAGTCTTAAAAGTTCGTGCAAGTCATTAACCACTCAAAATTTGTTTCTACATGGCATAGTGCCACCTGAGTCCTCAGGGTGCAGTGTACATCTAGTCAATTGTTCTTTGTAATATGCTAAAAAAAAACACTTTCTTTTGAATCTTTTATTGATTGTGGTGCAGTTGGAGTAGCTTACAGGATACAGTAGATATATGTCCCAGTAAATGAGCTTCCAAAATGAATTTTATATATGTATGTATAATATAGATGAATTCATTATGAATTAGTACAAAGCATGGCTGTGGATATGAAAACAGTGCGGATATCAAGTGTCTGTTTTTTGCGTGTCTCTGCCTATCTAGCTATCTCTGTGTGTTTGGGTTCTCACACTCGCATCTCACACTGCTTGGGAAAATCATGCATCAGCTAACGTGCCAACTAAAAACATTTACTTATGTGACAGGCTGACTTACTTTGACATCTAAGCCCCAACGCAGATAAGCAGACATGTGGATAGTCTCTGTACAGTTAACTGGCATTCTACTCGATAGCATATATCATTGTAATTATCTGAAGGACAGAATGATTGACTTTGGTGCCTTCCAGGTGCACTATAAACAGACCTGTTTTAGTGTTCCAGCTCATTTTTTTTAGTATGTATGTCAGCAGCAGTTTATTTAAAATCAAGAACAAAGTTTTTATTCCCATCTTAACTGGTATTTCTGCAGTTAAAATATACTCTTATTAGCTTACTGTCTGTTACAAAAATGAAAACAACAAATTACCTTTGTATAGTGCTTTTCAGGTCGGGAGAACTTCCCAATAATAATAATAATCCGTGCATTTGATATAGCGCCTTAACATGTCTTCGAGACGCCTCAAAGTGCTTAACAGAACATACTGTAAAGTGAATTGATTGTATCTTTTGCGGGTGAAACTCGGCTGCCAATTGTGCACAGCATTGCCCCATGGATTGAGTGACCTATTATTATTTTTTAATCACGTAGCTATCACTTTCTCCTAGTCCCTGCTATGTTTCCTCCCACTCCTTACACCACCCACACCCAGTTATCTTCTCTTCTGCTTGACCCAGATACGTCTCCACCCCTCATCCCTACCCCCAACATACCAAACCCTTACCAGTGACCCTGCCCAATTTTTTGAGGGGCAGCCAGGTGTCTGACACATGAAAGGTCTCTGTTGTCTTATCTAAGATGCATCTTTGGAATACATGCTTGAGGCAGAGTTACTGATCCCATTCGTAATGTAATTGTAACTAGAAATCCCAGGGGTTCAACCTTTCACCAATCAGGTTCTCTTTCTTATACTGTTGATATACTGTTGGATATTCTGCAATAGGCAGAGGTGAGTCACATGCAGAATATCCAACTCGTTCGCCCCTGCCAAGTGTATTACCTAAATCGCCAAGGTTATCCCTTACCTAACTGTGGATTGGGGATTTTTGAAATAAGAATTAGGCAAATATGTTTTTTGCCCCAAGTCTCAAGTACTTATTTCAACTGATACTCTTAATTCTTATGTAGCAGTGTGGCTTTCAGACAGACATCCTCAGGGCATTCGATGCTGCTTCAAGGATTTGTTAAGATGTCTGTTGGTCCTTGCTTTCAAATTGATATACATGTCTTCCTGAGGCCTAGAGCAGCTTTTAAGGTGTGCAGTCATCTGTACCATCCTCCTGTATGTTGGATGGCGGGGTCTACGACTAATCCTCCTTCGTTGCCATCGCCGGCACCTGGTTTTCCTCATCCTTCTTCAACATCATTTGTGGGGGCAACTGTGTCTGGAACGCTATCTTAATTTGGTCATGGCTGTTTTGACTTTGACAACTGGTTGAGTCCTATCACACTAATTCAAGATTTTTTAATGAACATTTGTCCCAGTCAAGGTTCCTTTTTATTCAGTGGGACCTGCCATTGTTAAATGAACCTAGTATATTGATATTGATTATTTTGTAAGTTGACATTGCCATTGAAAGACTTAGGGTCAGCGAGTTAGGTATTGACACCCATATTTGATATTGATTATGATGTAAGTTGACACTGCCTTATAAGGTATTGTTATGTCTCTCATCCCTCACCTTGTGTACCTTTTGTACACACCACTCATGAATGCAATTTCCCTGCTTTCATGTCATTATGGTCAAATTAATGATGTGGCTATCAATTTCTGCTAGTTCCTGTTATGTTTCCTTC